CGGCATCCGCCGCGAACTGGGAAGCCCCCGAAAGGTCTTCGTCCGGACGCCCGTCCGGATGCCCTTCCGGACCGGCTGCCGTCAAGGATTCCCTGTGGGAAGCGGAGTCCGGCTCATGCACTGAAATGCGCTCCAGCACCTGCTCTTGACCACCAGCACGGTCGTGACCAGTATGGTGGTGGTCCCGAGGATTGTGGAAGTCGTCTGGGCTTAGCAGCTCGGGAGTTGACGCTATACCCGGCGTCGACGGTGCCAGATGGCTACAACGTCTGCTCGCAGCGCCGAGTCGCGAGCTGGAACGTCGAGCGACTCCTCTGAAGGACTCAAACGTATCCTGGAAGTAGTTGCGCGTTTCGTCAATTTGGGCGCCAAAGGCTCTAGTTAAGTCCTTTAGTTTCACCAATAACGCGTCAGTATCGAATTCAGTCGTGATTTGAAATACGCAGCGGTCATGAAAGACCAGAGCCGTGATTGGCGGAATACAAAATACAATGCAGTGCTGTCGAATCTCGATGGAGGGAGTTTTGATTCCTTCGCTAACGCCTTGGCCAAACACTTGCTTTATATCCCTGTATGTAAGCTGTCCAACAAAATCGTTAAAACCATTTCGCAAGTAACAGTGGTATCTAACTGCCTTTATAATATCCGACGGCGTCACTTCGACATACTGATGGTCTCCAAATGCAACTTCCATCAACACATAGCGCTCCAGCTTGCCGTACCGCCATGAAGGCAAGGCATTCTCTGCGGTCTGCGCACTAAATTTTTCCTCAGGTCTACAAACTGAAACTTACGAACTATTCTCAAAAAACTCGCCTCCATTCCACTCATAAGCGCAGTTCGGCTGTTTGCTCTTTTGGGTGAGATCTCTCGCGAGATCTTTCGCGAGATCTCCGGCGTCTTCAGCATTCTTCTGCATCCCGAACTGGCGAAGAAAACCCTTTGCTGCGCTTTCGCGCACGCGTGTGCATCCGATTTTTTTTTTTGGCGCAAGCGTGATAATGGCGGATGAGACAGATATCCTGGCGATAGGATCACCGCCAGCCACCTCTCCATCATCCCAAACCATTACGTTGTGGGCAGAGAATATCCATTACAAGGTGGTGGATAAGACCATCATCGACAATGTCACCGTTCGGTGTCGATCAGGCGATTTGACGGTGATGCTGGGGCCTAGTGGTTCGGGTAAGACGACCCTGCTGAATGTGTTGGCGGGTCGTTTGAGGACTTTTGATGAAGGTTCAGCGGGTATAAATAACAAGGTGATTACTGATAGTATATCGAAATACCTAATTAACTATGTTATGGCAACCGATAGGCTTAACGAGTTTTTGACTGTGTACGAGACTTTACTTCAAACGGCCCAGCTGAAGCTGCCGCACAAGTCTTATGAAGAGTGTCAAGTAGTGGTGGAGAAATTATTGGTTGAGTTACGTTTGGTCGAGTGTCGAGATACATTAATTGGGGGCGTCTGGCGTAAGGGTATTAGCAAGGGACAGATGAAGCGTGTATGTATCGCCCAAGAACTAATTGGTGACCCGCTTGCCTTGATATTGGACGAGCCTACTACAGGTTTGGACAGTTCATTAAGTTATGAGCTCATCCAAATTTTGAGCAATGTCGCTAAAGAAAGGGACATCATTGTGTTATGTACCTTGCATCAGCCGAATCAGAGGATGTTCGATGTCTTTGATCAGTTGATTATAATGGCTGAAGGTCGGGTTCTATACCAGGGTCCGGCAAAGGCAGCCTTTGGATATTTTGTGAGTCAAGGTGCAATAACTGATCCAGATGCGCAGTTTGACAGTGTTCCAGACATACTGCTGGAGGTGGCCTGCAACATTCAGCGAGACGATGGTGGTAATAATGACGAAGAAGGTATGCGTCATGGGTGTCATGCGTCCTGTCGTTCGCTCAAGTGGCAAGTGAAGACATGGACGAGAAGATATCACCACGCTGGTGCGACGCAGAATGAGAGATATGAAGAGTTGCCGGGAATGGACAAGATCCAGACTATTACAGATGCGCAGTCTTGGACAGCTCAGTACAGAATCGTTTTCATGAAATATTTGAAGACGAACTGCAGGAACCCACTAACAATTATGATCATTCTTTTAACCAACATTGTACAGGCCATTCTACTCGGATGCTTATTCTTCCAGATGGAAAGTGATGTCAAGACGGTAACAACTCGCCCATTCAATGAATGGTCAATTTTCCAAACCCCCATGCTCTATTACCTTGATAATGGCCTTACAAATGATACTGCCCACAAAGTCGACCCACTCCGGGATATGATGGTCGGTGGCATTGATGGTCAGGGCACGAGCATGGTCTTTGATATTATGGCCAATCCGGATATGGTGCAATGGCTCTTTGATTTTATCAAGTGTTTCCGAAGCAACATCCCTTACGATACGTCCGGCTACCCCCGGTGGAACTTCGTCGACCCGGATGACTCTACCACCACCAGTACCCCCATAATCAGCACCACCAGCAGCAGCAGCAGCAGCAGCAAGGTGGGATTTCTGGACATAGGACTGGACCAGTGCTGGAACTGGGAGAATGCTTATGAGGACACAACGTTCGGTGGGTGGTCACTGGAGCAGGGGGTTACAGCGGGAACTGCCATTTTGCAAATCATTGACTCGGTTATGGCTAATGACGCGGCGAAGGACTGGCCGGACTTCCAAGCGGACCGGGAGAACCTCCTTCCTTTCTGGTACTCCGTCCAGACAAAAATGGCACCATATGGCAACACTGGTCTCTGCTGCGCCGGAGACCCCTTCGGCTTCGCTGCCATGGGGGGGGTGGTGTGCTCGAACGTTCTGGGCGACTACCCGCAGCCCACTTTCCCAGGACATATGTACTGGCCGGAGAACGCGGGTCAGAAGGTAATCCAGTTCTTGCAACAGAAACCCGTGCTTGACACAGTTGCTATGGTGGTTAGTCGTGTTCACTCCGACGTGGAAGCCCTGGCTGCCAAACGTAGGCTGCAACAAGACAATTACGGAGGGAAGTTTGGCGGAGACAAGTACCACGAGTTTGGCGGAGAGAGGTACCACGAGTTTGGCGGAGACAAGTACCACGAGTTTGGCGGAGACAAGTACCACGAGTTTGGCGGAGACAAGTACCACGAGTTTGGCGAAGCGAGTTTGCGTGAGACAGGCAGCCGAATTGGTGACGCGATGAAGGCGGTGGCGCGGTCTGCTCCCAAACGAGCATTGGGGAGTGGTTTGGGTGGAATGGTTACGGACTTAGTGGACTTGATCATCGGCAATCCCGGCTCCCCATTATACCAAGTAATGGTTGCGTTTGCGGGTATTATCGATAGGTTATCGGCTAAGAATTGTGGAACGGTTTATTGTGAGTACTTGAGAGAGTTATGGTCTACAGGTGAGAAGACATTAAACGATTTGAGTTCGACCATTTTGACGGTGTTGAATTTGTGTGGTACGATCTTCTTCTTGTGTGCGAACCTTGGATTTAGTTCCTACGATGTCTTGCTGCAATTCCCCAAGGATCGTGCGATCTTCAACCGAGAGCGCGCGAACGGTATGTATCGTACGAGTTCGTTCCTGATGGGAAAGATGGCTGCAGAGATGCCCTTCCACATACTGCCCGGCATCACATGGTCGGTTATCTACTTTTTTATGGTTGGTCTTGACTCCTCAGGCTGGCGAGTACCTCAGTATATCGGAGTTGCCGCACTCATCTCTTTTACTGCCTACTCCATGGGCTACTGTGTCAGCTCGGTCGTTCTGCGACTCGAAACCAGTATCGTCTTCTCGCCACTCGTACTCGTCGTTATGCTTGTTCTAGCAGGATTCTTCATGCGAGACTCAGAGTTCCCAGCATGGGTCAACTGGGCCAAGTACCTTAGCATATATCGCTGGGCATACTTCGCTGTCACGCTCATCAACTTCCCTCCACACGGCACCTTCGGAGCCATACCCAACTCTCTAGCACTCATCCTCGCAGGCGTCACCGACACCGTCCTCTACCACTCCTGTCTCTACATGCTCTGCATCTCGCTCGTCTGCCGCATCGCCTGCTACTTCGGCCTCAAGTACCTACATACCACGCAGGGAATAGAAGCCTAACTCAAAAGCATGCGCAAACAAATGCGTACAGCCTGTAATACATTTTTTGAAGCATATCACTGGGCGGAATGGGGTCCGTCGGGCAGTTCGTGGGAGTCGATTATCTGGCTCGTCGGAACAGGGGAGATGACGTGGGGGTCAACACACGCAGGTTAATGGAATCCCGCACCGCTCGCTCGGAGCGCAATCCTGGCCCATATCCGACCCATGCATGCATGTGGTCACTGCACGCCCGTCCAACCGCAACGCAAATGAGCGACCCGTGTTCGAATATGAATTGACAAAAAATCCACCAGACCAAATTGTCAAGAGTAATGTTCCGTCTTCCACATGATTGTGTTATCTACCACGGATTGATGCAAGTAGCGCTGCGGGAAGAATTACGGAACAACTGGTGGACGAAAAGCCACACACCTTTAGGACTGCGCACAACTGAAGCATGACTGATGGAATGCTTTTTATTCTCTGCTTGGACACTATTATTGGATATGGTCGAGCGCGCAACTTTGGGGCAATTTAACCTTCACGGCTGCTTGTGGTAAGTCCAGTTTATTTGGGGCAAGCTTGGGCCGCTGGGGATAAATTTTGCCACAAAATTTATGGCGTCAGCAGTGGCGAACTGGGCGGATTTGGAGAATGACGACAATGAGCTGGACGAGGTAGTAACTCGGGACGCTGCGGGTAACCGGGTGGTGAGCGCGTATTATCGAGAAAGCGATGGTCGGCAAATGAAGTGTGAGAGAACCTATGCAGTGGAGGAGGTAATAAGTTATGTGCCGCAGAAGGTGGAAGAGAGACAGGCGAGTTGGAAGAAGTTTGGTTTGGAGGCGCTTAACTTTAATTTAGCGTCTGATAAGAAGTACCAGACCATTTCTTTTGAACAAGAGGAGAAGTTGGACCCGCCTAAAAGGCGTGGTCTCCTGGTGGAGAACGACGCCACTCAGGGTATCGCCGATGTCAAGCCTATCGAACCGCCGAAGAAACTTATGCTGGAGGTTCAAAAGATGCTCGACGCCGTCTCCAGTGCCAGTCCGCATGAGGCACTTGCCGCCATTCAGGCTTCTGAACGCAAGAAGGATGAACGTCTTACGGAACGTTTACCCGGCGATACAGCGCCTCATCGAAACCATACAGAACAAGACGACCGAACTGTCCGAGTCACCAACTTACCAGACTACGTCGACGAAGTACAAATCTACCAACTCTTCAACCGAGTCGGCGATGTCTCTCGCCACTTCCTTGTCCGCAACAAAGAAACCAACCAGTCACGAGGCTTCGCCTTCATCTCATATAAAACAAAAGAGGACGCCAAATGCGCCATCGATAAACTCCATGGTAAAGGGTTCTGCGGTGCCGTGCTCAACGTCGAATGGGCACGACGCAAAATTGAAACCTAACGCAACCTTTTTAACCAACAAACATGAGTCTCATATATATACCAAACATCGTTAGGGGGGGGCGTGATGAGCGCATTAGGGGGGGTGTGATGAGCGCATTAGGGGGGGCGTGATGAGCG